TTCCGTAGCGGCCCCAGGTGCTCAACATGGAAGTGGCCTTTTTTTGGGGGAGTGCGTACAGGAGAATGAAATTTTGGAGAGTTTATATTGGGGCAACCCATATATGGAAAGGCCCCATGTATGTCCGGCTATGGCTTTAAATCGAATTAGGCCTCCCCTCTTACAGCCTGCGAATGTTCAACACCGGAGAATACAAGATTTTAGGTGTACCACTAGCTCAGAACCCTTCCACTACTAGCCGCACCCCCATCATAACAAATAGTTCAATATGTTGGGAGAAGCATTGATGAAGCTCCACAACCCCCAACGGCCAACTTACCTCTGGTTAGCAAGGAATGTTCTTCTGGGATTCCCAATAACATGAGAGTTTCCATTTTCTTTTCCACTCCTTGTTCCCCGACAACCAATGGTAAGTACTCCCAAGCCCTCAACTCTACACTAAAAGCAGGGAGCTTGATGTACCACGCAGAACCTACCATCCCAAAGACGCTTTTGCTCTTGAGTTCATGAGATGTCAGGGAAGGGTTACATGGATGTTATCTAGGGGTGCCGAGGTGATACATAGCGCAATAGGGCAGGGCTCTAGATCCGCCAATTAAGTTTGTGGATTGTTGTTGGGAAACTCCTGGGAGCGTCCTGGAGGAATTCGAAGGGCAGGATTCTTTGTGAGCGATTGTTCGGAGCAGGCCATCATTTTGTTTTTGCCTTGTTATTGCTCCGTACCAGACAAGATGTTCGCTTTATTCTGTACGCTTTTTTGTTATTCCGTTTTGGCGAAAGTTCGAATGATTCCGAACAGCTTTATTAATATCACGGCGACATCAGGAGTTATCTAGGATTACATAGGCTTTCGCATACTACTGCAAAGCACAGGCCCCTTTGTATGGGAGGAAGTTATATGAGCTATAGTCTAAACTCCTTAAAGGGGGCTTATATAGGGATTATATAGGGGACTACTATAAGGGTTATTAAGGGGGGTACTAGGAGTTTAGACAGTGGCTCATATGGGCATACATATGGTTCATAGGGGCGCAGGCTTAGGGCTTGGCATCGAATCTCGCAGAATACAGGTGCTCTTGACCGATAGCTGGATTCATATGGGGAAGCTCGTCTTTGACATCCTGCAGAGTTTGGTGAGGGTAGCTGTATAGCAAAATTACGTTCGGAACAACCGCAATTGGGTAGTCAGAAGTGCGCGGTGTCTAGGCTATAGGCTACGTGTCGAAAACTTGAAGTTTAGTAGCTGAAAGGTATGTAAGGCGTAGGGCTGTAGGGTTTGGTGTTCATGGTTCGGGGAGGGCCCTGGGAAGCTTTCTAGGCAAGTCTCGCTCAATAGGGAATACACCTTGAATAAAAACATATTCGTGGTCCTAGTATCATTGAGGGCATATTCCCTGATTTTGGGTTTGGGGATGTACGGGGTACAAGGGTTGGAAAAAAGACAGGGGAGGTAGCCACTCGCCTGAGTCTGAGGAGTCCGTAGAGCACAACTCTCAATCTTGGAGTTTCCAATAACAAGGATGCAACATTGGGAGTTGTCTAGGATGACATAGGGGTCACGAACTGTATGCAATTGCTAAGTTATGTAGGCATACATCTGGTTCATAGAGATCCCAGCTAAGTTAGCATTTAGCAATTCGCAGAACAAGGGGTACCCTTAAAAGATCGTGGAGCTCATGCTGGGAAACTCCTTTTAGACATAGGGAGCTACAGCAGGGATCCTACAATGACATTTGGGCCCACAAGAGGCATGTAACGATTGCCCGTGAGCTGTAGAGGCTTAAGGCTCGGTGATGACCCTGCAAGTGTTAGAAATGCACATTGGCATCCTAGCATCCTAGCACGAGCACCAAAGTCACTATTCTCTAGGACCCAGCTGTAAGTGAATGAGATTGCATGGACCGCTACTGTAAGTGCTTAATCCAGAAGCGCCGTCTGCCACTGCCATGGAGAGCACGCCTTTGGCACGATATGCTGCAAGGTTCAGCAGGCAAGGCAGCGATGAGCTGAATGTGTCGTCAAGCGAGCGCGAGCGACCTGCATTGGGTTCCGAGCCTAGTCGCCCAACAGCACATAAACCGACAGACCGATTCATGTGTTATTTTGCGTCATGCTCAGGCTGTTTTTTGTTTAGACTTCCTTCGTGGATTCAGGAGTTAAGAAATTGCGTGAAAGCTCTGCGAGAAAATGGACTTCAGGTGGCTAGAATCCTCTGGCTAGGGATTACGGGGTTAGTGTTTGGCAGGTTTGATCCTGGCTTGGGGGCCCCGTCACGTTCCTCGCATCCATACATGACTATGTCAATGCAGGTGGCTGCTACCAGAAATCCCAGAAACGCGAGCAGAACTTTACTTTGGGTCTGAAAGTCGATAACTAATCCTGATTGCAGGCCGTAAAACATATACGCCGTACCAGTTTTGGGCTATTTGTATGCCAGGGGCTGGTGAATATGCGGACTATGAGGACTTCATGGGTGGTGCACTGCATGGACTATATAGGGATTGGTTTTAGGTACTTTCATGTACCAGACTGTGTAGGAGTTTGGGACTGGGACCATATAGTGATATAGTGATAATTTATATCAGTTTGGGAATTGCAAAACGCTCCCCGCTTTTTTGGGCCTAAGCCCCAAACCCGATCTTCTCTACGCCAGCTCAAGAGTCCTAACCTGCCAAGCAATGAGATTCATCAGTCGCGCGCGCGAAGCTTTGAGCCGTGTGGCTCTCCTCTTTAGGACTTGGGGTTTAGGGTCCCCGAACAAACTTTGAAGAATCACATGCCTCAAGATATATCCCCCGCAATATCTAATGCTTTTTGCAGTCTGGAACAGCAGGTTTAAGAGTAAGACTACTTTCAAAGCGGCCGGATCAACCAGCCCAGTGTAGTAATGAACTGGGGGGTTCTGAGGTCACTACGTGGGTTGGAAAGGCGAACCAAAAGGGATTAGGGATGTTTTTTTTTTGTAATTTAGTTCTTCAGTTATGAAATGGTAATGGAAACTGGATGAATTTGAAGCTAATCTTATCCGCATGAGGCATCACCTTGATTTCCTAGATCTTCGTTTCACGAGGTTGTTATAGATGAGTTTATGTAACATCGCCCAGAAAAGTCTTTCATCACAGGGGCTTCGCAAATATCCCATGTTGATGATACGTCTGTTTTACAGCCGAGCATGTTTTAGGGGCCCCGGTCTAAACGTACAGATTGGTGATGAACTCTTAATCTCAAAGCTGCAGGAAAAACCAACCACCTACAGCTTGATGTGTTTTGTCTACTAGTTACTACAAGGACGCGCGCGCGCGCGTATCTGGCCGTAAGCATTTGTCCGCATTTGTCTTCTCGGCTCGTGCAAATAGACAATCTTCTCAGTGTTTTCGGCTTGTGGGTTTCTAGTAGTCTGCAAACATAGTACGACGAAGTACATAAAACACTGTGAGGGCCATCGGTTTTGCTCCCTATCAGAAGAAACACGCTCTATCATGAAAAGAGTCCGATACAATTCCAGGCTTACACACAGACCACAACAGATGGGTAGGAGAAGAATTCAGCGCCCTCGTCCCCTCCCCGCCTGGCAAACGCCTGACCTTCAGCTCCTTGCTTTTCTGCTGCCCGTCGTGGTCGCCTGATCCTCCTCCTGCGGTTTTGCATGCTGGCTTGCTGGCGCGCTGGCTCCTCAGGCACCTGACAGCCCTGCGTAGAAACATGGAGCCGGCAAATAACAGATTACGTCACATAAACTGATAGGGTCGCCGTTTGTATCATGGCTTGGGGGTGCCATGGGCTCTGGTCATCGGATTCAGTCGAACATGAACATTCTTATGGTTTGGGCATGGATGCTCTGCCCACAAGCTCCCAAGCACTCGCATAGTTACTGTGTGGTGGTTACCTGAACATTGGTCACTAAGCTTGGTTACCAGTTTTTCAGGGAACCAGAAAAAAGTAGGAACCAGAAGGCCAGAACAGCTTTGACACTTGTAACCAGACGACGCTCGAATGCGTCAGAAAAAACATGCATTGCAAGAACGAATGACTGAATTGTTTGACCACCTCCCTTGTGACGGTCACACTTCTCACCAAAATGCTGTAGTTGTGCTAGAAAATTGATTTGTGAGCCTCTCCTCTACGCCGACCAAGTTTTCCTTACCATGTCTCATGCACCGGGCAGGAAGTTTCGACAGGAATGGGGCTGGTGTCGCAATGTCGTTGCCACAAAGGCCTGCAAGAACCAGCAGGCCAAATCCCAGCCTGGTGGCTGTTTGCACTCACGAACACACGTCTCTCAGCCAGTCCTCCGCAAAACAACATGCTTCAAACAAGAATGCGTATATGAATCGGGTCGCAATTGTGATCACTGTTTCGGGGTCTCGCACAATTGACTTACTCAAGGCCTCGGCCGCTCGTTGTGCCATTGCTGGGCAACCAACATTTTGCCAACGGCGCATTGCACACGCAGTTCTAGAGGTCAAAGCCATAAATTTCCGTTTCCACCTGTAGGTGCCCCAAAGCATGTGCAGAAAAAGGTGCTAAACGGGCGCAAATCTTCATTCAACGATTCCCGGCCCATTTCAACGGTTCCGAAGCCTATTCGAACGGTTCCGGGGCCCATTTCAACGGTTCCGACGCCTTGTTTTCACGGTTCCGACCTGTTCGCCCGCTCCTCAGGCCTCGTCCACTGTCTGCAACTCCCTCTTGGGAAGCAAATTTGCCTCTAAAGCTTGCCAATGGCGCAGTAGCTGCGCATTTTGGAAAAGCTAGATAGGGATCATGACATTGGCTCATATTTCGAGCATCGTTTGTCACGGCATCCCTCAATGAAACTTTAGATCAGCCACCGCCTCGTCCGCCACATGAATGCCATGGTCCACTTCCTTACTTGACGTGAAGCTCAGTGCTGTCTTGCGCTTCGCTTCATGATTTCCCGGAGTGTTCTTGTCGAAGTTGTCTTGGCCTGGCCGCAGCACGGACAGGCCTGTCAAGATGCATGGAATTTGTGTGGCAACATGGGAAACGTTAGAACAGTAAAACTTCTCTACAGCGTAGTCTGCGCTGTTTTCATATCCACCAAACAAGCTACGCTGCTGACACGGCAATCAGAACCCAATCACGATGACACACAGGTGCGCTGGAAATCCCATACTGCCATACGATGCACCGACACAGGATTTTACCCGTGTGTTTTTCAGTGCCTGACCGCGGCCTCAAAACTGTTAGAGCTCCTTCATAACATTGAAATAGATACGGGAGCTACGGGTGAATTGCACGAAAAAAATGCACGGCTCTGCAAGCCAGCAAATAGCAAATGTGTTCTCTTCAGAGTGGAATCTGCCACCTGCAAGGTGACGCCAGGCATTGTCGGAACCGGTTCCGGGATTTGGGGCTTTTTTTCTGGGGCTTTTTTTCTGGCAACCTGTCTCATAAGCACAAGGTCTGGCTCTCATTATTCAGGTTACCGGAGCCCCTGGGCTGGACATCGGATGCAAGAGACGTTATTATGTTTCGGGCATGGATGCTCCTTGCATCGGATGCAGTCGAACATGAAGGTTACTAGGATCTGGACATGGATGCTGTGGTCATTGGATGCAGTCGAATATGAACGTTAGCATGGTTTGGACATGGATGCTCTAGTCATCGGATGCTGTCGAATCTGAACGTTATTATGTCGGATGCAGTCGAACATGAACGTTATTATGGTCTGACTGTTTGGAAATACACGAGGGGCTGTTACGCTATTCCACTGCGCGCACGGCTGGCTGTAGGATATGTTGGTGATTTCTGGGTAAGAATGCATCTATTTCGGCAAAAAGTCTACAATATTCCACGGCCAGATACGCACGAGCGTGGTACTACACAGCAGGTAGTAGGGTGCTTTCAAGCCCAAACTCTGAAGTGGAGAAGTGGAGCGCATTGTTTAGGGGTTGAGGGTTTAGGGTTGGGCGAGGGGAGGGTAGGGGAGCCGATAGGATAGGTAATCAAAGGGTTTCGGGGTTGTACCCCTTTCAGGTTGTGCTGCTGGGTTTACGGAGGAGTCTTTGGCAACTACAATTGGTTCATATAAAAGCTATGTGGAGACCACATTCGGGCGACGGCCTTCGGGGTACAACCATATGCAGCTAGAGGTAAGATGCTGGGAAATTCGGATCCCCCCTCAAGTGGATAATCAACTGGAGAGTCGAATTGAAAATGAAATGGACACTGGGGCTATAAAGGATTCTCCATGGACTTTAGCAGGGTAGAACACTCGATTTCCTACATGATACCAGGATCGGTGTTATGATTCGGGGTATATTCCTTCATCAAACGGAATTGGGTTGCTTGGGTCATGTTGGGCATCTCACGTGGACAAATAGTCTTGTGGTTGAGGACACTTTTTTCTAGTTTCAGAACTTACTACATAGTCTACTAAACTGAGGCGATACAACATTTCCCATGTACACCATGCTTGCGGCAACTCTCTTGCAGCTGACGCGGATAAAGATGCACGAGGAGCTGATTGGGGCTGGGGCTCTCACTGAATTTGATGAGAGCAAGGGCAAAGCCATGTTTGTGTCCCACCAGTGGGTCAGCGACACACATCCAGACCCTGAATGTGAGCAACTGCGAGTCTTACAGCACACGCTGATCAACCTTGCCAGTGGAAGCAGTCATGCAACTCGCTGGTTGTTAGTAGGGAATGAAGGACTGAAAAAGATGAGGGAAACTACTGTAATACAGTGGGTTATAGATTATAGAGGGGCCACTATAGAAGTCCATTCCCCCATTCGCTACTAAACCCATTGAGGTAAGCCTGCCGGTTGCTACCGAGATCATTCATGGTCGTCTTCAGTGCCCTGTTGCGAGGGACTTCGACGTCCAAAGCCTACATATTTGGTACGATTCTTGCCTTACCCTATAAGGGTCCAAGGACCCAAATAATAAGGCTGTAGGGCCCAAATGCCATGAATATTATAGTCTTTGGGCCCTAAAGCCCTATTATTTGGGTCCTTGGACCCTTAGGGCTAGATGGGTGGTCTCGTCTTGTCTTTGATAACGGGTTTCCAAGCATCCTTCGTGTGGTACATACGGGCTAGATCTGGTTTATAGGGTTTAGGGTTTAGGGAACAGGTCGGCAGCCAGGTTTGTTTCACGATTTTTCACTTCTCCGGGGGGTAACCTCTAACCTGTCCGGCAACTATGAAACCCCTGTTGAACCCAAAGGTCATCACAGATTAACTTCGTAAAAACCCTGGTTATTGGACATGTAAGGATTATTTTTGCTGTCCGCAAACATCCCTGCCACACGCGCAGAAGAGTCGTCATTGTGCCATTCAAAGCATTCCTGCTTACGTGGCTAGGTGCGAGTTCTTCTTTGTGTTGTGCCCAGCGTTAAAACATTTGGACAGTGGTCGCACTCTGAGCCATGCAACGTGGGCTGATCGCGGATGGTGTAGAACAGAACGCGTGGCTCGCGAACTGGCTGCTCGCAAAGGTGGCTACATGATTGTGGTAGAAAGTCCGACGCTCCAGACACTGATTTGGCAGGGGAACAGGCTACTTGATGCTCCTGGATCAGGCCAGTTCACGCGGGATGCTGATAGGGCCATGATTGGCCGAGTGCTTGTTCAGATGGTGTGGACGAAGCTGTCTTATTACCTCCGGCAGCAGGACCTGCACAACTATCGGTTTCTGCTCAATTCGCAGAAAGGAAGGTTCTTTCGTGACTTAGATGTGGAGCCAGTTGATGGTTTTTTGCCAGGTCTTGTTAGCAGAGCCGACCCAATGGTGGAGCCGCAGCTTTTCATTATGGAATGGTTTCTTCATCAAAACGGCTTCACAAAAGTCACTGACAGGGATGCCGGTGGATGGTCTCCGCTGTGCTTCGCAGCGCTGGACGGGGATCCTGTGGTGATTCAAGCTCTCTTGGAGAACAGGGCTGATGTAAATGATATTATCACCCAGGCGAAAAATGAGTTCCAAATTCCCAAGAAGGTTTCCGCTCTTGCAATTGCTGCCTTCTACCGCAACAATCAGGCCGTAGAGCTACTCATATCAGCACGGGCCAATGTTAATCAGAAAGCCCCTTTCGGCGGCGGTGCGCTGCACTTGGCGTGCGTTGGCGACAATGCTCATGCAGTGCGAAGGCTGTGCGTGGCCCGAGCAGATCCTGGCCAACAGACTGTTTTGCTGCAGCTTACTCCCTTCCTGATAGCCTGTGCCTGCGGCAAGCCGCTTGCAATGCGAGAGCTGCTTGCCCTGGTCCCGAATTTAAGTATGCGACATGGGCTTCACATCGCCTTAATGTTCAGCGGCGGAAGCTCTCCGGATACCATTTCTGTTCTTCTTGAAGCCAGGGCTGATGCGAACGAACAGTTCAAGATCAGCATAAAGCATTCTCGATGGTGGCTGCTTCTCAACAGCATGGCTTGCCTGCACCGGGTGAGCCCATCACGGCTCACGTCCCTCGCCTATCATCACTATGGGGCAACTCCATTGATGTTCAGCGTCTTGAGTGGCTACCTTGAGGCTACCACTGCATTGTTGGCTGCAGGAGCGCGAGTGGACATCAAAAACTATCGTAACAAGACGGTGTCTGACCTAGCCTCGCAAATACAGGCACCAACGTGGCTGCTGCAGACACTTTCTGCCACGGCGAAATCGTCCAGCGAGATAAAGGAAAGTGGCGATGATACCTTTTCAATTTGAGCGTAGGAGATTCAGTAGTCAAGGCGATTTCAAATCTCACTTGGTCAGCCTGGCCCCCTCCAGGACGTTCTTTTTAGCTGTGAAGGTGGGCAACCCACACGAGCACCGGCAGAATATGTTTGCCCAGCTTTTCCAACTCTCAAACACAGAGGGGAACATCGGGCGGGGGGCAGGCTTGTGGTTTAAAGTTTGTCCAGCCCTGGGGCTCCAAATCACCAACCGCAGGTGCTTGTCACAGACTTTCAGGCTGTTCTTTATATTACAGATGTAGTTAGAGCCCCAGGGAAGGAGAGGGGTTCAGAATGTCTCGACACTTCTCCCATTCATTCCGGCAATTGAGTTTGATGTTGTAAGTCTCAGATCATTGCAAGGATTTATCAAGATGATGGGTCCTGTCTCAGTTTATGTTTTGGCTGGCTTTCATGGAAAGCAGCAAGCCCTCAAATGTCCATTCCTATACCCACTGTGGGAGAGTCACCCTGAGTCATAAAGGCTCGGGACTTATCCCGCTGTGTTTGCTACCGCCAAGAGATCCGCAATCCGACACAACTGGAAAGAGAGGATCATAACATTTGTGAATCTTCATTTGAGAAATGGAGACTTTTTAAGTAAGCTGAGGGGAGTTGAGCTCTCACTTGCTCAGCCTCGCCTCCCACACAGTTTCGTGTAGCCATGTAGATGGGCCACCCACACCAGCTCAAGCAGAATCAGGCTCCCGAACTCTCAAACACACTTGAGAACACCTGGCTGGAGGAAGGCTGACAATTGGGGCTAAGATGCCCCAATGCTTCACAAAGCTGACGGAGTCAGCCAATCTCGAAGGAGAGGCTAGGTGTCTAGATGTAGTTGCGCGCTCTTCTCTGTATTCAATCCGCCTTTTGGGCATGAATTATGCATACACTTCTAACCTCTCCTAGTTTTCATGTCGTGGGTTTTCCGGCATGCTCTGCGGGGCAATTCTCTTTTTGCGCTATGCCTATGCAAGACAACTGGTCAGGTGCATTCGCGACTCAGCGTCAGATTCTGAGGGCTTGACCAAGGCGTCTGACTCGTCTTGAGCAAAATGTGTAGAACACGGTCGGGGTGGGGAGTTTGGAGCGCGGACCCTGGAATTTGCCGGTTTACCCTTAACACATAACCACGTCCCATCAGGAATAATCCCCCCCCTATGTAGATAACATTTTTGTGTCCATTCCCCGACGTACCCCTATGTAGGTCTGTGGTAGGGGGGATGCTTACCATCATAGTATGAGTATGAACGGAGTATAATTCCAAAACACTTGCAGAAGCCTAATCTCCAATTTGGTTTCCATGCTCTTTTCCCTGCAACTCTGCATCATAAAGGTATTGTCCCCGAACCCTCAATCCTAAACGCTCATTTGGTTTCCATATGTGGCGGAGCCCAACATAGCCCCACGAATACGAGAATCCTGATATCAGGATCCCCAACAAAGTACACCCGTTTTTGAGAAGCCCTATAACCCTCAAACTCTAAGCCATATATATTCGTATACCCCAAGGTGCTGCGATGTGGCTTATCGCCGTAGCGGCCCCAGCTGCTGAATATGGTTTTTAAAAAGGGCGCCTGTTTTGGGGAGTCCGCACACGACAAGTACTTTTTGGGAGTTTATGTTGGGGCAACCTATAGATGGAAAACCCCCATGTGTGCCCGGCTATGGCTTTACTTCGAATTAGGGCTCCCCTTTTACAGCCAGAGAAAATTAAAAACCGGAGCATGCAAGATGTTTGGCCACTCCTTGCTCAGAACCCTTCCACTATCACAATCCCCCTCATTGGGAGGAACAGTTTTTATAGATAGGGGGAGGGATTTGAAGCTCCTCCGAAACTTGAATGCTGCTTGGCCTACGTACAGCCCCCAAACCCCAACGCACCTCTGGTTGCCAAGGAAAGCTTTTTTAGGATTCCTAATGACATGCGAGTTTCCATTTCCTTTCCACTCCTTCATTCCCGGCCAACCAATGGTAAGTAACCCTCCCTAAATCCTAAACCCTGGACACCCTGCACTAAGTCCAAGGAGCCTCAAACACCAAGCCGAGCCTACCATCCTAAAGGCGCTTTTTTTGGTTGTGATACTTCAGGGAAGGGTTACATAGCGGTTATTTAGGGTTGCAAAAGGTGATACATAGGGTAAGAGGATGGGTTTCAAAATACAACCCCCTCTGCCCCCAAAAAGTATAAGATGATTCTAGATACCAAGGGGTCCACCAATTAAGTTTGTGACTTGTTTGTAGGAGGTCCTGGGAACTCGAAGGGCAGGAATCTTGTGGGCGCTTGTTCAGAGCATGCCATTATTCTGTGTCTGCCTTGTCATTATTGCGTACGGGACAAAAGATTGCTCTATTCCATACGCTTTTGATTATTCCATTGGTCGGAAGGTTCGAACTAATACGCAACCAACATTAGGAGTTATCTAGGGTTACACAGGGCTTTGCATACTACTGCAACGCACTGGCCTCTTCGTATAGGTGTAAGCTATATAGGCATACATATGACTCATAGGGATGCAGGCTTATAAGGGCTTGGCATCTCGCAGAACAAGGGTACTCTTGACAGATATCTGGATTCATATTGGGAAGTTCCACTGTGAGCGCCTGCAGAGTTTGGTTGGGGTACGTGAATAGAAAAACTACGTTCAGAACAACCGCAATTGGGTCACAATTGCGAGGTGTCTAGGCTATAGGCTCCGTGTCGAAAACTTGAGGTTTAGTAGCTGGAAGGTATGTAAGGCTTGGGGCTTTAGGGTTTGGAGTTCTTGTTTTGGGAAGGACTCTGGGAAGGTTTCCAGGCAAATCTCGCTCAATTAGGGAATCTATCTGAAATCATATTCGGGGTCCTAGTATCATTTAGGGTCTATTCCCTGATTAGGGGATATAGGGTCTTTCTGGGGATGTACAGAGCACGAGGGTTGTAAGAGAAGATAGGGGAGGTAGCCAATCGCCTAAGTCTTAGCAGTCCGTGGCGCACAGTTCTCAATGTGGGAGTTTCCATGAGGAGTCCCCCACACCACAACATGTTATGATCCGTATTGTCAGGACCCGGAAAAGGGCCACCTACTTCGGGATACCTCTATGTTTCCTAAACCCTGGTAAATTTGTCCTATATGGTGGGCATTTGCTAGGACTGATGCAAATGATTCTATTTCTAGGTAGGATTTAGGGTTTAGCGTTTGGGGAAGCATTCAAGGTACAAACACGATGTAAACTGCAGCCTCCTGTTTTTATATAGACAGCACTAATTGTTCATTGTATGGACGGGTTCCATCAACAGGGGGGCCCAATATCAACCAGTATGTCATAGTTCTTTCTAGAGGTGCCTCCAGAAAAGGCCCCTAATTTTGGAAGCTCCCATTTGTTAGGGTTTAGGGTTTGTCTTGTACGTTGTAAATCCTTTAGGGTCCAAGTACTCAGTCATCCTATACATCCCCAGAACTACTTGTGCTACAATGACTAGAGCCGGAATCCCAAGCACCTAAATATTGAGTACATGGCCGCTTAGGGTTCAGTCAGTGCTGCCTACGCGCGTCGCTCGGCTACACTCTTCGCCCCGTAATGTCCTGCCATGCAATATGTTACCATTATCCCAGGGTCCCAGGGCTCCCATCTCGTTCCTTTGAAAGATTGTAGCGAATTTCCAAACAGCCATAGCAAACTCTAAAAGGAACTACATGGGAGACTTTGGGTAGATGCCGTGCAGCGCTGCGAAAGCTTGCTTTGGCAATTGTCCCCTCAATGTGTAGCCTCGCATTTGTCCACTCCTCAACTTTCCGGACTCAAGCATCTGCTCCAAACCGAAACTCGCCAAGGACGCAAATAAACCGAAACACCGGGGCGGAGAGACGTCAACTCTTAAACTTGGGGAAACCGCACGCAAAATCACTAACAACGCCCTACGCAAAACAAAGCACACGAGATGATGAGCTGTCTTGAGCTTGTTGTGTGAACTTGTTCTGTAATGATCCTTTTGCCGTGTTGTTGTTTGGTGAAATTGCATGTCATCGTTGTGTTGTGGTTGGCACGCGCCTTCGGTGCTCTAATCCCGTATTGTTTTGGAGGATGACATTCCTGCATTTGCCACATAGTCATCGTTTTGCTTTTCTAGTTTTCGCATTCATACCAGCGTTTGCCTTATGGCTCGACGTGCCAAAAGTATGCGATAACTAGTCCAGGGGGTGCTGGTGTACTGCTGACAGAAACATTCCTGCTGTGACTTGTGGCTTAGACTAGGCAAGCCCCGGTCTAGGCAAAGGTTGTGTCTGGGTGGCCGAGTTTGGGGCCGTGCATGATCCTGCACACTATCCCTGATTCTCAAAATACCCTGAAAAGCCTTGTACAGTATGGTCTTTGGGCCCAAGCGCCTTATATCATGAGTCCTTAGAGCCTCAGGGTATTGGAGATGTTACAATGGAAGGGCCTTACTTGAACTGTTAGAGCCTTCTGATGTATTACTTAGTTCAGTGGAGGGCAGTATCAGAAAGAAGCGTTCTGTCCCTTCCATGGACAGTGCACCGTTGGCACGATATGCCGCAGGGTGGCACAAGAAGCGTGCAGATGAATGCAGTGTTGCTTCCCGCAACTGAGCCCACAATTTAGTTGCTCCGGGCCTAGAGTTTAGTAGGAATCCATACGCAGTAGGCAAATATAACCTGCAAAACTACAGGGAATTGGGGTCACGGGTAGACACTTGCTTTGCAAGCAAGCTATAGTCCCAATTCTCAAGAGGAGGGGGGGGGAAAGGAAATTCATAGGGTTTAGGGTTTAGGGTCTTAACTCACTAGGGGGGTAAGAAACCCGATTAACTATTTATTACATACCCATACTATGGCAACTTAATTTAAGTTCCTCAACAGCAACCCAGACAAGGATTGCATTTGAAAGGCATGCAGGAGTGCGCTGTGACTCATGGAGGGCCTTCAGGGAGCAAGAGGTTGCTTCGGTGGCTACTGGGAGGTTTAACTCTCTAGTGGATATGACCACCCAAAAGTTACACCACAAATCTGGAAAGCCTCCAGTTCTTGGCAGCCTCCAAACTTGCATCTTCTGGCAGCCTCCGAAAATAGATGGCACAGTTTCTTGAGATCCCCATAGCCGTATAGACCTGTTACAAACGAATCGCAACTTGCTGGATCTCCCCAACGCAAATGGGGCTTGGCATAGACAAGGGCGCCTAGTATAGACCCTACTATACTATATCCCTCATGATGGGGACTCCCAAAAGGGCCTCTCCAAGTCTTGGAAGGCCCCAGCCCCAAACCTTCACTGCACTAGTGTTTAGGGTTTAGGGAATTTCTAGGTTTTAGGGCAATACTGTACCCTTCCCCACGCAATACTGTAGTGACGCGTTTGAATCAGACGGTGGACTAGGTAGGCCTGTTCTGGGCGTTCATGTCATAAGGGCCCACTTCAAGAACTCAACTCCCCATTTCCAAGCTATTCTTCCCTCATTTGCCTGGAGAGGTCAAGTGATACCTGCACAGGGAATGTAGGATGACACATCACTAAGTCTAGCCTGTCCCACGGCCCCCAAAACACTGTAATCAAAGCCCAAAACCTTAAAGTATAATCCTTAGTATAGGGACCCCCCAATACGGTACGCGGGTCAATACACCTTCAACTTTACAATTCCACTCCACGAGACCCTGGAAGTGGAAATGTTGAAAGGTTCTTTGGCTGATTTTCCCAAAGTCACGGAGGTTTAGCACTTTCAGAATGGCTTGCTTGGCTGCTTCAAGTAGTCTGTATACTAAATCAATACCAACTGTGGGGCCCTGCGGTCAAGAAAAAGGGTACCTCTTGCTGATGTTTCATTGTGCTTCATTTGAAGAACGTTCGGAGGAAAATGCAATCTCCCTACCGCCCCCCCCCCTCCCCCCTCCAAAAGTAAGCAATCTTCCCACGACATAATGGTACCATTTTGGGGTACTTATGATTAGGTGCCGAGAGGTATGATGATTTTTACCCAGCTCCCTTGTATCAGCACTTGAGCGGGAGCAGGGGAGGGAAGGTAGGCGCAATTTTAGATAACTTTGGAGAGTTCCTCCCCAGCATCCCAATCCAGATTCAGCACACTCTGGGCCCTAGATCCTAAACCAAGTTTCTCAATATACGGCAAACGTCAGCCTGGGGCAGATGTTCTACGAAGCGCTGAAAATCGCAATGGGTGAGTTTCCAAGAACTAGGAGGTCCATGTTATCCGGGGCTCCTAGAAATAGGCATCATAAGCATTATCGTGTATTGGGGTCTGAGTCCGTATTGGGAACCCCGATCTCTGGAAAGCCTCACATAACTACGAGATGTGGTTTGAGCAGTATGCATTCGACTATGCTAAGTTGAGGCGATCCAACCTTCCCCATGTACACCATGCTTGCGGAGACTCTCTTGCAGCTGACACAGATAAAGATGCACGAGGAGTTGATCCAAGCTGGGGCCCTCACCGTATTTGATGAGAGCATGGGCAAGGCTATGTTTGTGTCTCACCAGTGGCTCAGCGACTCACATCCCGACCCAAATTTTGAGCAACTCCGGGTCTTGCAGGAGACGTTGGTCAACGTTGCGGCCGGCACGAGCCGGGTTAGCGTGCCGCTTGTTACTGAGATGTTGCGAGGTCGCCTTCCATGTCCTGCTGCAAGTGATTTCGACCTTACACGTCTTCACATCTGGTATGATTACTTCTCCTGTCCGCAGTCGGCCGTGCCTCACGCAGAGAATTGTCGTCAACATGCCATTCAAAGCATTCCTGCTTATGTGGCAAGATGCGAATTCTTTGTTATACTGTGTCCAGCATTGAAGCATGTGGAGAATGGCTGCACTATGAGCCAATCGACGTGGGGTGAACGCGGATGGTGTAGAACAGAACGCGTGGCCCGCGAACTTGCCGCTCGCAAACGTGGTTACATGATTGTGATACAAAGTCCGACGCTGCAGACCTTAATCTGGGAAGGGAACAGATTACTTGATGCCCCTGGATCAGGCCAATTCACGAGGGAGGATGATAAGGCAAGGATAGGTCGCATGATGGTTGAGATGGTGTGGACGAAGCTGTCTTACTACCTCCAGCAGCAGGACTTGCACAACTACCGATTTCTGTTGAATTCGCAGAAGGCAAGGTTCTTCCGGGATTTAGATGTGGAACCAGTTGACGGTATTCTACCAGGCTTTGGTGGAAGCGCCGATCCAACTGTGGACGCAAAAGTCTTCATGATGGAGCGCTTTCTCCACCAGAATGGCTTCAGAAACTGGGTTGCTGTTACGGAACTTAATTTAAGTTACTATATTGGGGAAACCCTATAATTTACTATATATATATGTATACCCATTATGGTAACTTAATTTAAGTTCCTTAACAGCAACCCAGGAAAGGTCACTGACAGGGATTCTGGGGGATGGTCTCCGTTGTGCTTCGCAGCTCTTAGAGGAGATCCCGTCGTGGTTCAAGCTCTCTTGGAGAGCAGGGCCGATGTCAATGATGCTATTACCAAACCCAAAAGGGAGTTCCAGTTTCCTAAGAAGGTTACTGCTGTTTCAATTGCGGCCTTCTACCGCAACAATGAGGCCTTAGAGGTACTCTTGTCGGCTGGAGCTAATGTCAACAAGGCAGATGGGTATGGTGGAAATGGGCTGCATTCGGCATGTGCCGGTGACAATCCTCTCGCTGTGCAAAGGCTTTGTATGGCCCGCGCAGATCCGACTGCAATCAACCTGCTGGGGCTCACCCCCTTCTTGGTTGCTTGTTGCTGCGGGAACCCGCTGGCTATGCAAGAGATGTTGGTGCAGATTCCTAATTTGAGCCTGCGTCATGGACTGCACATCGCCTTGATGTTCAGTGGAGGAAGTTCTCCTAACACCATTTCAGTTCTTCTTGAAGCCAGGGCTGACGCAAACGAACAGTTCAAGATCCGCATGAAGGATTCTGGATGGTGGCTCCTTCTGAACATTATGGGTTGCAGGCACCGAGTGAGCCCATCACGGCTGACATCCCTTGCCTACCATCATTATGGGGCAACGCCATTGATGTTCAGTGTCTTGAGCGGCGACTTGGAGGCTACGACTGCGCTGCTGGCTGCGGGTGCTCAGGTGGACATCAAAAACTATCGCAACAAGACAGCCTGCAACCTAGCTCTTGAAATGCAAGCGCCCGCGTGGCTCATCCAGACACTCAAAACCAGTCGGCAGTCATCCATAGATGTGCAAGAAGGTGATGACGATACTTTCTTCATTTGAGCAAAGCAATGGAGATCGTTGGGCTCCTGTGGCTCCAACAAGCCAAAAAGAGGCAATTTATCCCTGGGGTTAGAGCCCGAGGGAATCCTGGTTTCAAAGACTTGGAACTTCCCAAAATTGGGGGGTCTCTTGATAAGGGCTATAGTATATTGGGGTCTATATTAGGGTCCCTCTATTTTGGGAAAGTGCCACATGCTGTTGGTCAGTTTGGCCTCCAGTCCCAACTTGTTCTCATATGTCTTAACTCCCAGTATCCCCTTAATAAGCTGTAGCATATTCCCCGGCTTACTCTCCTGTATAACCCTGTCAAGAGGTTTAGTCCCTACGTAAACCCTAAACCGTCTATACTCCCCTATATAACCCCCTTACGAAGTTTAGATTATGACTCATATTATGGATGGGCAACCTACACTTGTACCCGGTTTACGGGTTTTGGGCTCAGGGCTTAGGGTTTAGATGAGGTTTTATGGGTAAAGGGTTTAGGGCTTGGAGCTTAGGGTTTAGGTAGGGTTTAAGGGCAAACTTTAGAGCTCAGGGTTTTAAGATTTTCGGGTTTGAGGTTCATGGTTTCAGGTTGCCCTAAGCACACACACCAGTAGAACTTGCTCTGATCAGCTACAAGGGCATGGAGATGCTTTTTTTTATTGCCGTAGCAGGATCATCAGAATGTCCTGCTTCTGAACCACTCCTTCCGGGGAGCTTGAGGTCGCCCGTCGACAGAATGAATCTCAGATCATTTCGCGCATTTATCAAAATGATGTAAATTTGCGCGGGCCCCCTTTTGGGGGGAAATCCAATGTGACAGTGCAGAGTGCGCGCCCGTCACCATGAGATTGACTTTTCCGCTCAACAGAAGTTCCAAACACCTTTACTTAATCAGGAACATTCTCCCCACACGATGTTTAGATTCCTAGTTTGGCTCAGGGTGTATATAGGATAGTTTGTTTGTGGGGATTTGACCATTTCTGGGTAGGGCAAATGCCTGAACAAGCTTCGCTATTAGCTTTATATAGCATAGTACACCATACACTCCAAAGCCTCCCAGCGAGCCCAAGATCCTTTAAATTAGGGAAGAGATTTAAATCCATATGATGTATCCTCGATCCTAGTATCATTCGAGGTATACTCAAGTATACTCCCTGTTGAAAGGATATTTTCTGTGTAGAAGGCGCTACATCGCATCCAACCTGGCCTGATTTCCCTGTCAAGCTCCAAGGCAGAGTTCTTTCATATGTATATATATATATACACACTTAAATTCTATTGTTGTTATTATAGGGTTTAGGGTTCGGGGTTTAGGGTTTAGGATTTAGGTTGTTTTTTTCCAAGCCTAAACCTTACCCAGAAGGTCCGAGTACCCAATATTTAGATACTCGGGTTTTGGGTAATGGGTTTGGGGTAAGTTTCTGATTATTAAGTACTTGGACCCTAAACCCAAAAGCCTCAACCCTAAACATCCTAAACACCTAAACCCGGTTTAGGGCCCCAACCAACCAACCATCCTCTACCTGCGTTCAAGCCAGTTAAGGCGAGAGCACTTGCACTGCATCGACTTTTCAAAACAACGCCCAAAGGGTCCTAAGCAATCATGTAGGAAATGCGTAACCAAACCATAAGGACAGTTCCTGTTACTACAAGAGCCATACTATGCACCGGTGTAGGCACTTGGGACCCTTTGGGAATTCTTCAGTGCCAATGGTTTGGTGCCGTAGTGAAACAGAACGGGGGAGTGAGTCCTTGTAATGAAGCCTAGAAAAACCTGCCAAAATACGTATTCAATGGCTTCTATATGCCCTCCCTTGTTGCATGAGCACCAATGGGTCGATTGAAGGATCCTGTGGCGCAACCGTTGAAAATGACCGTTGACCATGTTTTGTGGAAGTTGCAGATGATGCGGACAGTGCGCTTGTTTGTACCGCTCAGCTACGGGAGTACCTAGCAAATCACAGCAAACTGCTATTCTGAGGTCGGTGATACACATTTTCTGATGTGCAGGCAGCCTGACTTTCGGGTTCGTTGTTAATTAGCCAGCGCCACAGCTGAGCTGCAAAAATAGTTGAATGGGCAAGGGGTTCGGCAGCCACAAGTTGTGACTAATTGCAGAAATAACACCTGGAGCACTTGTGTGCCCCCCTAGCACGAATTCAACAGATCCCCTATCAAACAAGTATAGTTAGACATACGTATATGAGCATCAAAGCCATGTGTCAAGTACGGGTAGGAGGTTGTTGATGAATAGTGATTCGTGAAAAATCCCTAACTCATCCCTATGTCATCCCAAAACAGACCCCAATATCACGTAGTAGTTTCATGTAGGTTCTACTTTCCTGCTATTCCCATATATGGTGAGGAACCTCGATGCAAAGCGGAAGTGTGCAAGGTATGCGTAAGCATGCCAAACTGAGGGCCGTGGGGGCTGTGATGACGGTTACCATGAGGATATACCCGTTCAAGGTTTAGGGCTTGATTGCTTAAGGTCCCCGTGGTCTTCCAAATACGTGGTCAGGGCTTAGTGCAGATCTGAAACAAGACAAAGATATGTATGGTGCCATGGTTCTACTGCTTGCAAAAACGAAACATTTAAGGCGATTTGAAGCCAATGCCGATTATGGTAACTACCTGAATGGAATGTTGTTTTTTTTGCCGGCACACTTGCGGGAACCTTATATAAGCAGGGTAACATAACACGGTACACTGAGTTCACAAACATCATATATTGGAGCCCAAAGTCTACAATTCTTTTGTCTGTGGGTCTGTCCGTGCAAGATACTGCTGTAGACCCTCACCTGGACTTCCCAAATAATGCTTTCATACTAGTGCTGAATTTCGCACATAAGGCACCTTGCATATGCGGAGGGGCCACATTCAATACCAGGGGTGGGGATCAATATCAGTACGAAGTGTTTAATTAATAGCCCTTTCTCATATGAGCTATAGTCTAAGCTCCTTCAAACGGATTGTATATGTTTATGGGAGTATGACAGGGACTACTAAGGGGGAGGTAGAAGTTTAGACTATAGCTCATATATACTGGGTCGCTCTCCCTCACAGGAACTGTGCTCAAGGCGTTTCAATAAGGGGCTAGTATAACTCCTAGTACCTCTCGGGGTAGCCGTTTCTGTGAGGGGGAATGACTTGTCCGGGTACCCATTTTTTTGGATTTGACGGTTGTTATTGCGGGTATGAGGACAGGTCATCGGTAATTCGGTGTGAAGTATTGTTTATGCACCTTGGGAGGCATATTTGCATTCCTTCCAGTCGTGATAAGCTGAGCCCTTGCTATTGACAATAATCAAAAGGCCGACATGTTGTTTGGTGTCATTTTTGGTGTGTCAGATGGATAGGCATATACAGGACAATGCTTTCATGTACTAATGAAACCGTAAACGCTATGAGACCCATATGCCCCAAACCCAAAACCCAAAACCCTAAACATATGACTCTGATTCGCGTTCCTTGACTGAAGCCCTTCGACTGCGTTTGACTGATATGACGTCAATTGGATGAGACCTCTATGGTTTCTACGATTTCCAGGAGCCTCCCTCCATCTCGGCACTGGATCGGCTTAGGGGGGGTAGGGTCTAGATTATGCTTTTCATTGACGACTTCGGCTAGTGATAGCACTGCTCTCTAAAATGTGCTAACTTCATCACTCCTGTTTCTCGATTTTCTGCTTGAGGATCCGACTAGCCCCAGTTAGGTAGTATTTATCCTCTTTGGGTCCAAAGTAGGTAACCCTAAACTCTACAGCCTAAATCGTCAGACTTGGATCCCTGGGCTTAGTGTCTTTTTCCATCAGAAGCCCTTTGTTGGAGGCTTGGAAAGGATGCGGTTTTAGGAGGTGGGTTTAGGGCTTAGGGAAGTCTAGGATTTTAGACCCTATGGCCGAAGCCCCAAACATAAGGCTCACCGCACCCTAAAGCTTGACTAGTGAAGTGGACGCTCGAATTACAAGCCTTTAGCCCTACCAACAATTTCCAAGTACCCACAATAGTTGCTTCTCTTAAGCACCCTAAATGACAGTAATGACAGCATCCTCATTCTCAAGCCTCGAAATCCCAAACGAGAAGCCCAAAACACTAAACCAAAGCCTATAAACTGGCAAGGCTTCAGGACGAAGACAATGAATTGCCGAAGACGCAGATTTCAAAAACGATAAAAGGGCCCGGGGTTTGCAAAGACTTCCTAGTTGTACCTTGGGTATTGCCCCCCACCCAGTAACAGTCTAGAAGGGGATAATGTTAAGGGCTGTCTGTATTGATACTACATTTTGCTATCCAACTGTTACTGGGTTTGGGTAGTATCTAAGTTAGCCGCGGGGTTTGGGTCCCAAATGCCCCACATACTGGCTATAGTCCGTGCTTTAAGAATCCAAAGCAGAGGGTACAAACCCTAGGGGTGCACCGGAAATTTGTTTGAGGGTTTGGGGATTCACGGACTTGCAGTTTAGGATTTAAGGGTTCAGGATTATGGGTCTAGGGTTTGGAGTTTGGGGTATCAAAGGTTGAGCTCGTACATTCTGGGTCCAAGCACCTAGCTGTTTTGGCTCTGGGTACGAAATATGTTGGCCTGGATGCTTCTTTGCTCTTAAACCGGTCATCTGTAGGTACTTGGAGCATAGGGTACAGCTCCCATTGTGAGACATGGATTGGCTTCCGCTAGATTTTGATGTCAGAGGTCGATGCGCGTAGACTCGTGCGTTCTGTGCGAGTTTGCAGCTCTACACCCTATATGTACCCTCAAGGGTTCCTTCAATCCCCCTAAACGGCTTAAGGGCCCATATTAGGGGCCCATACTTCTTACTTTATGTTGTTGCTGCTGCTGCTTACGCACAATCCCGCCAACTCGGATCTTCTCAGCATTGGAAGAATACCCCCAGTAGTATCCTTTGCCATTTTTTATCTCAGGGTCTCCTTATTAAAGCTGAAGAGTAGGAAAAGGGTAACCCCGACCCGTGATTAATAAACCCTCTCCGCTTCATGGGGATTACAGCAGGGATC